ACAATCCTCTGTTTATTCCTATTTAAATGCATCAGTAATCAGACCAGGTGCAATGATTACATTATGTGTCCCAATTACCCAGGTGAAATAAAATAAATCACATTGTCACAATCATTTCATGGAAAGAGGTCAAAAATATGTTGTTCCAACTTTATGAGCAACAGTGTATATGCCAACAGAGCAGTGGGCTGTTATGACTATAGTCTGGAAGAAGCATTTCTTGTTAAAGTTATTAACTATCAACCTCTTATAAGCTAAATAAATTCTTTCTCGAAGTTTGTGAATGAACACAGACTACTTGTGTTTATCTTTAGTAGTCTGTGTTATGTATTGTCCTTAAAATAGGGGTGAGGGCTGTGCAGATGGCTGGTATGCCAATGAGAAGGGTTCAGACACTGCCAAGGAGCAGTTATCGGCATTTGCTAAATCTATCGGACACGCTGCATTTTGTAGCCTTAGTTGGAACAATGGCAGAAACACCATTCAATCACACAGTTTACAGTGGTGTTTTGTATCAGTCGTCGTTTATGTTGTAGTGGCTATTAATCAGGTGGGTATAAATAAATGTTATATAAGAAGTGTGTGTGTTTTCCTCTGTGTGTGTCTGCTCTTTTACATCTTAGTTAGGACCAATCTGAGTTTTAGAATGTGAGAGTGGTTAGGTTTGGAGACGATAAAATCAAAGTTCACAAGTTGAAGCCTTTACGGTCATGCCAAAGTACAACTGCATACATTAGAAAGACCAGATCAACACTAGACTAGATCTTTCCTGGAATCCAAATCAAATGGATCACATTTTCCTGTACATGTACATCGTTCAGCTTGTGTGCCTTATGACAAATAAACGACATGTGTGAATATAAAAAAGACAGAGAGACTACAAACTAGAGAAAAGTGTCCAATAGTGTCCCAATAAGTATGGACATGAATATTGTTGGAATATACACATGAGCTCAATTTTGTGATCAGTCCCTCTGCTGCTGTCTATAGGCTATATTTCTATTTGGATAAAAAGTATGTGTGTGTGCGCGTGTGTGTGTGTGTGTGTGTGTGTGTGTGTGTGTATTGGAGTTTTAAACAGTTTTAAACTGACAGCAATAAATCTGATGTCAGCATATACATTATAGTTCTTCCTAATCTCCAGGATAAACAGGGACAGTTCATTATATGGTTCATTATATTTCCACTGCTGTACTTGCAGTCTGGAGGAAGCCTGTAGATAAGATGCTATCTGTGAGATGAACAGCAGAGCACATTGTGTTTCCTGTATCACTGCTGTGGACCGGCCACGGTGTGTGTGTGTGTGTGTGTGTGTGTGTGTGTGTGTGTGTGTGTGTGTGTGGTGTGTGCGCGTGTGTGTGTGTGTGTGCGTGTGCATGTGTGTATGTGTGTGTGAAGACACCCTAGGAATAAAACAGTAGGACTTGGTTATACGTCAAACCATTCTTTTTATTGAAAGCATATGACCTTTAAATATATGGAGCCCTATAAATAAATAAATAAATAAATAAATAAACAATCATGAAATGAATAATCACATAAATAAATGATATAATTCTCACTCAAGCTTTGGAGTTCCATCATTCTTATTTTAATAATACTAGAGATTTATTGCCCATTAAAATACCCCTTTTCAAAAGCTTGTTATTATTTCATAATTTCATAAACTTTTCCTATTCATGCCCCTGGCTTTTCTCATGAAAGTCAGCTCAACAAACGTTGGCAAATTCAGTCAGTTAGGTGCTTCAAGCTGGAGTGACAACATTGTTAAAGTGATTCTGAATGAAGCAAACATAGGCTACTGCTGTAAATAAACACAGCACACTGTAACTGACCCCTCCTTTTATATACAGTGGCTTAACAATGCTGCATGCGCTGCCTACTTAGCCGGGTAACTAGCTAGGTGGGGTTGTGAGCTTGGATTATTACTCAGCATCAAAGGGAAGAGGAAGTGTTAATACCATTAACTAGGGCCAAAAAAATGTTTAGCAGTTTTAGCAATACGATTTTTAAAAAACCATGTACATATCAGCACAATGTCTTTAATCTGGATGTATTAAAATATAAAAAAGTAGAGTGCAGATTCTCACACGCAGAAGCTCTTTTTTGTATTTGCATGACACTTTATTTACAGTACCTTCAAACCCTGTCAGCCAGGTGAGTGGACACTTAAGCTCCACGTATTGGTTAATATAAACATTTGATATTAACCTTAACAGCTAGCTTTGTCTGAGAGTACCTTTCAGGTCATAAACCCACATTATAAAATAAACCCTGTAAGCAAATTACTCCTGTAGGCATACAAACTGATAAATTATGTATGAGTATATTTAAACTCGCAGTAGTATATTCATCTATATCCTGAAGCCTGATATAATGTGTGCTCCAGGTGTATTGGTCCTTGCTGTTGTCTAACCCCCACTGTGCTGTGAATGCATGTTCACTGATGTGGCCCTGAGGGATACGCACACCAGAATATCCAGTTACATGGCACATAATATGTGTATATGTAACAAAAATTTATTTTATTATACTTGTGGATCTCCTGTGTGACCTTGTGGTCCAGCTCATTAAACACAAATTCTTCTGCTGTCCCAAAACAAGAAAGAGTTATATCCAGCAGAAAAAGGTGAGTTAATCCGACACCATTCAAATCCATGTAAAACCAAGAGGGATGATATGAAGAAGGATAAAGAAGCTTTTGGGTTTCCTTTAGCTCTCTCTTTGTGACAGTCAGTAGCCAATGTACTAGTGTGTGACCTATTCAAGACAAAAGTGGAGCAGTTACCAAGGAGAGAAACCAATCCAAAATATAATGTCAGAGCCCAGCTAGTGAGTGGTTATGGTGCACAGTCCTTTCTCTCTGCTCAGGCTCAGAAGGAGCTGGTCCGTCACATAATAAACAAGGCTTGTCTGATCATTATCCAAGCAGTGGCCATTCATGCCCAACCTCAGCGCAGACTCACTGTTCAGCCGTGGTGTGCCAAGCATCTGGAGATTTGTCTCCTAATTGGTTTGTTTGACTGTGGGAAGAATTTAAAAGGTGATGGGTGATTGGTGAAAGGAAAAAAAAAAACAACAACAGAAAATGAAAGCATGGATAAGGTTAGAAAGATGTAACTTTGCGATGAAAACTTTAATCTATTCTTTGTGCAGGAGAGATATGTTACTTGAGGGAGGGTTAAAGTCTCCTTAGTCAAATCTGGACAGTCGAGTCTACAAGACCACTAAATGAAATTAGATCAAAGCTGTAATTTATTAGAGCAACCATGTGATTTGGGCCACAGGTCCCAAGATGGAAAAGGAGGCCTAGAAAAGCTACACATGGTGTTTCTGGGGAAGAATGACTCTCCTGACAAACACCAATTTAAGACAGATGCTGCTCTCACAGTCCGACCCAGTCTTATCTTGGGTAGCTGGTCAACAAGAAATTTTAAATATTTTTGTTAGGTTGCTGCCTGATAGATGACACCCTCTACTCCAAGTAACAACTGAACTGAAGTTTTTTTTTTTTTTTTTTTTTTTTTTTTTTTTTGAGGAGCAGCCAGCAGTATAATTCATTAGACAGGCCCACTGTAATGAGCCAACATAGACAAAGCACCCAATTTCCAGTGTGTCCTCTTTCTCCTGGGAGCAGTGATCATAATGACAGTGCTGTTTGTTGCTTGGTTTCATGCTGAATCATGATCACACAACCACAAGCCCCCGTGTCTCTTTCTTTTCTCACTTTTCTGCATGTGGTCTCCGGAGAAAGAGAACATCAGTTCTGCTTGCAGATTACGCCATTTGCATGAGACAAGTGTGATTAGTTATATTTATTTATTTACCAGCCTATAATTACGCTAACATGATTTCACTGAGATGCCTCTTCATCTTATTTTTCATTGCTCATAAGATCTTCTGATAGGAGGCCATGTTGCTCTTGCAGCAATACTTCGGTAGTATCTATACTGTCAGCAGCAGGGCAGTAGTTTTGTTTAAAGCCCACTTGTTGCTTGCATGGTAACTGTCTTAAAATGGAGTAACTCTCAGTTTAATGGATTAAAAGGCCAACAGCTGGTCCATGCATCAAGAGGGCCTGTAGTTTGTGACCACATTCTCCAATTGAATCTTTAAGACATGCAGTGAGAAGCTAATGCCATTTCATAACCCTGAAGCACCATGTAAACATTAAAACAAACCCCAGTGTAGTCCATTGTGTATTGCTCAGCCATAAACAGATAATGTTTTCTGCCAATTTGCTTATGGTTTTCTTCACTGATCTGTGCTCTGTCCATTAGTCTTTGCTACACTGGCATGTATTGCAAGCACTCAGCAGTCATTTTACTCTTGAGTAGACCTCTCAAACATATTGAGTTATAATTTTTTCATGTACACTTGCATTTTTATGACAATAGACTATTATTGCTACTATTATTGCTTAATGGATTTTTGTGTTTGAGCCTTAATGGAGCCAGTGCAATTAAATTCTTTGTCCTCTATTAGGGTTTAGGTTTGATTATGTTCTTGGTTTGTTACTGTACAGCATTTCATTAAAAAACATAAATTATAGTTTTTATATAATATCATATGATCATATATTATCATATTTTATATATATGTCTTATGTTTATCATATCACTATCTTGAACAATGAACACAAAACAATACAACAAAAAGTAACAACAATAAAACATAACATTAAATTCAATACACCATTGCACCAGAGTCTAGTCCATTACTAATAAAATAGGATAAAATAAAATAAAATAATACATTATACAGTCTGTACAAACATAAAGTGTTCATATACGAATAAACATTAAGACATAAATGACCTAGTTTCAATGGTTTTCATAGATTGTATTTGAGACTTGCAGTCTTTCAAAAAATAAACCAAGCTTGAATACAACATTAAAGATTATTATTATTATTATTATCATCCGTATACGTCAGAACATGTTCTTTCACTCCATTGGCCAGAATACTTAGCTACTGCATTGTGATTGGCTGTCGCTGTGTGTTCAGGCGTTAGCTTGTTATGTAGCAACTTAGCCGGAGAACGGTGTGTTATCTGCTGATTTTTCTTGCAATGGTTCCTCTTTCAGCCTAATATAAGCCACGATAATACACTAATCGCGCACAGAGGCGTTGTCGCTTATTTATTTTACCTATTATGTTGACTGTTGCGTATTGTACGAGCGGTGACAACTTGGGCATGGTCATGTTAGCTGAGTAGCTACCTAGCACGCCTTCAGCCTTCCTAGTTCTTTAGATGTCATGTTGCATGAAAAGCTGACCTTGTAGGTACCGCCAGCTGGTTTAATTAGGTTCTGTCAGAGCTATGGCATCAACCAGGCTCTTGTGTTTGTTCAGCGCGAGAGTAGCAGGCTCGACCAAAACCTTAGTCAGAGCTGGGTGCAGTGTGTGCTTCAGGAGAAATGTTAGCAGTTCACCTTCAAGGCGGCAGAGCTGCATGTCAGCCTGGGTCATTGATCAGTATGGTACTAATGGGGTTTTGAGGTACACAGACGAAGTCACTGTACCTACTGTCAGTTCTCCCAGTGAGGTGATGATTAAAGTCCATGCGGCTAGTCTCAACCCTCTTGATATATCTATGAGGGGTAAGTGTTGGAGTAATATTTGGATAAGATCAACACATGACCAGTGGTTTGTAGTTGTTGTTTTTTTAAAACATACCTGCTCGCTTTCTCCATTTACAGGTGGTTATGGAGCAAAATTGCTAAAGTTAAGAAGGGACCCAATGTCTGTGATGGACAGTGATAGTGAGTTTCCTGTGATTCTGGGTCGTGATGTCTCTGGTGTAGTGGTGGACTGTGGATCTGATGTTACCCATTTTACTCCAGGAGATGAGGTAGGACTTGCACTGTCTTTTAGAAGGAGTGAGTTATATGGATGAAACTACCTGTTACTGTACATGTCATTTTTATATTGAAATGTCTGTCCACACTCAGTGGCCACTTAATCAGGTACGGTGCACCTGTAAAATGGAATGCAGTCCAATAAAACAGCACAGCCATAAATTCTACCTTTACAGAGATAATAATGTTCAGGTTTGATTGACACTGTCAGAAAGGTATTAATTTAACTGTATGTTTTTCATTGAGATTGAAGTGCACCCCTACAAACATGAGGGGGGAAGAATATTAGAAGTACCTCAATATGATACAGCCCAGAAAAGCACCAACACTAACTATGGTGATAGTAAGAGCACTCTTTGTTTGACCTTGTCATAACCTCTAGACATATGACACACGTGATGAGGGTTCATAAGGAGACTTAGCTTTATTTGGAGGTGTCACAACGGTTGGGAGCCACTGGTTGAACACACCCAAAGATAGTTATCTTAATATAAACTCATTAAAATAGCTGACTTTATACAAATGTATATTGTTTTCACCCTTAATACAACTCCATAGTGGCGTCATTTGCTGACATTTTCTTAGACGAAAGATTAAGTTCTTTCTGCTTGGTCATCATATGAATATGACTCAATAATGGGAGACATCTACTGTGTCGACTGTCTCCCACATATTCACATTATTGTCTTTCTGCAGACAGAAATGCAATTATGCAAATTCAACTTAAAGTGATTGTGATAAAATAATATGAAACACCAGGAAAAATTTTCCACATATAGTGTTCTAGCAATCATGTTCCATCAGTTTAAAAATATGCTTAGAAATGAATGCTGATAAGAACCGACGGGAAGAGCTTGACTAAGAGCTTAATAGACGATTAACCAGATTCAGAGAGCTCGAGTAGGCGGTTAAATCTAGTGTGTTCAGCATGTTAAATGCCATATTTGTGTTCCAGGTGTGGGCTGCTGTTCCTCCATGGAAACAAGGAAGTCTGGCAGAATTTGTGACTCTAACAGAGTATGAGGTGAGCTCCAGAGCCAGTAGAGTTATACTGTATGACTGCAGTATATTTTCATCATCAGCTGACTGACAAACCTGTGTGTTGTTTGTCTTCTAACTTCTAAGACTGACTTTAATTTGAGTTTCCTAGTTGATTGAGAGCTCTTATGTAAATTGTAAAAGTGTATCGGCTAAAAGTTTGAAAGAAGTGTATCCTGTTATGTAATCCTGCAGTATAAGAATTAATTAGGATTAGGTTTGTTTGGTTGCAGGAGCCACTGTGGCAGCAATTACAGAGACACACAAATTAACCTGCGTTTTCTTGCTGTATTGCACTTCATTTTCAGCAACTCTTAGCTTGCTAGCTGCCCACACAGTGGCTCTGATGATTATACTCAACTTTTAAATTGTAAATCAGAAATATTGTTGACATGTTGGCATGTTTCTAACTTTTCACATTTTCTGTGTGAGCTGGTTTTTTTTTCAGGTTTCCCATAAGCCAGATTTAATGAGTCACACAGAGGCAGCCTCCATCCCCTATGTAGCCAGCACTGCTCTATCTGCACTTGTCAATGCAGGTGGTCTTTGCAGAGACAGCTCTTCCAATAAAAGGCAAGCATAAACAGATACTGGATAACTTTGTATTGAACTGCTCTACCCCCTCACCATTCATGCGCAGAACATGAGAAGTGTGAATCACAGTATTGGAGAAACAGTGAAAGGTCCCTGAAAAATATTATAAACTGTCATCAATGCTGAAATTACTTCTTTAAGGTCTTGGAGTTTCTTAATGTGCTCTTTCCTGTTCAGAAATCAGTGCAGTCATGCAGACCTGTACTTTGATAAGACACATTTTTAATCTCAATGATTTCAGTGGTGAAATTGGCTCCCTCTTTCATTCAAGTTAGCATTAAAATGGTTTTAAAATCTTGCCTTTAACCCACAGACTGTAAAAATTTAAACCAATGTGTAATCTAACTCTCTCAGGGTTTTGATCACTGGAGGATCAGGAGGTGTTGGAACATTCTCTATTCAGGTAAGGCAAGGTGTTTTCCACTGGCTCTACCAGCATGTATGTTTGACTCTTTTAAACTCTGCGTGAGTCTAATGCCATTCGCTGTGTCTGTGTGTATATTCCTGTTTTCCTCCTCTGTGTGCTGACAGTTATTGAAGGCCTGGGGTGCCCACGTAACAGTTACCTGCTCCCAGAATGCAGAGGGCCTTGTTCGAGGGCTGGGGGCCGATGAAGTGGTGGATTACACAGCAGGAGATGTGGTTGAACAGCTAGAAAATATGGAAAAGTATGTTTTGTTGCCGTGAAAAATGTGTGTTTTTAGAAGTAATCATACTAACAAACTGTGTGGTACATTATGTGTAAAAGTGGTGGCATTGTATTGGTTTCTTTTAAACAGGTCAGACCAGAATGTTTTTCTTTTTTTTACAGCACCCAAGCCTCATGAAATAGCATTAGACTCAGTGCCAGTCCAATAAAGGTGCTAATGAAAAGGAATCATCCAGGACTGCTAAAACTGTGCGCACTTCTCCCCTCTAAACACCACCAAATGTGGTAAACATCTTCCTGTCAGCCTGGCACACATGCTCACTGACTCACTTTCTAGTTTCCATGGATACCAGGGCTCAAGGCCTCAGTGGACGCTAGTGCACCCCTCTCCCTGCCCCCAAAATAAACCCTGGCTTTAGCTTGAAGACAAGAATGATCTTTTCCACAGATACTCTTTAACAATATTTACGACCTGAGATGAAAACGCATTCAGTGCTCTAAGCTGCTACAAAGTGTGTGTTTAGCTTTCTGTATTTTAAACTTTCCTCCACCGGGATTCCTCTAAGTCTGACTGTGTGTGTTTGCATGTTCAGGTTTGACGTGATTTTGGACAACGTCGGTGGAGACACGGAGCAGTGGGCGGTGGGCCTGCTGAAGCCCTGGTCTGGGGCGAAGTACATCACACTGGTGACACCTTTACTCCTCAACACTGATTCCATGGGCCTGCTGGAGGGGACGATTCACGCTGGATTCACCCTGCACACCAAGGCCTTACAGGTAAACATGAGCAAAACAAATTCTTAATGTCAACACCGACATGAAAGACGATACTGCTGTTTTCAGGACCCTTACTAACCTGTTGTGTATTTTTGTTAAATGCTTTGAGCCTGGCAATTTTCATTAGAATGGGTGTGGAAAACAGGTGCTCCCAAACTGAAATGGAATAGTTAATCCTCATTGGCATGGAAAGACAACATTGTGTAACGGGTATACACCTGTTCCAGCCAGTTGAAGCTTTTGCTGTGTTTTATTTCCATTCAGTTGATCAGATGAATCAAAGTTCAGTTGACAGCAAGAGAGAACATCATGAAATAACTTGACTTAGCTTCATAGCTTCACGTTCTCCCTTTGCAGAGGTGATTATGCTTGATCTGTAGAAATATACCCTACAGGGTATAATAAATCTGACTGTGTGCAGCAGAAGAGGGACTTTGACATCAAGACTTTGAGTCCCCCGCATGTGTGTAAGCTTCATATTATTGTGTGTACATCCTGTCCCACCAGCTGCTCTGTTAGTGGAGTGCATGTGTAATGAGGGTAGTGGGTGAATAGGCGAGGACAGGGTGGAGCTGCTCTAGGAACTGAGTCAAGTTGTCCTCAGCAGTGGAGGCACTGGTGACAGCATGGCTGGCAATGTGTGTGTGTGTGTGGGGGGCGTGAGTTGTGTGGTCTAGACTGCGTGTGTGAGTGTGGGCGTTATTCTAAATGTGGCGTGCATGCGCATGTGTTTGCTGCTGAACCAGCAGTATTTGGTGTTTGTGCAGATTGTGGCCGACTATCTCCCCCCTGACAAATACCAGTGTTTGTGTGTTTCTTGCCAAGCCTCCGGGCCCCTTTGTCCATGGGAGCATCCAGCTGGTCAGTTTGGCGAGGTTCAGTTGCAGCAGTCACACCCTCAGTGGCCGGCTCTGTACAGCATGTCATTTTCATCTGGGAGATCACAGTGCAATTGAGCCCTCTAGTGTTGAACTTCTTGTTAGCACTGAATGATCAGGAAGAATCTATTGGTTGTTTTTGTTTTTCAAGCAAGCAGAGATAGTTTCACCAAAGCCTAAGAGGTTTGGCGAAGTGATGCCACATAATAATATTTTATGATCAAATATCAAGCAGTTAAATTTCCAGAGAGGAACAGGAGTTTCTTTCTTTTCTTTTCTCATTGTATTTCAGGTGCTTTCTAGTGCAGCTCTTCTGGAATAGGGCCAGTTTTTGCTTGTAACGTGCTTAACACATTAAGTTGGCAAAATAGTGCATATTATTAGGAACAACCGTTTACCATGAAGATAATTGTCGTGAGATTACTATATGTAAATTACAGCAGGAATATGACTCTGTTTAAGATCATCACCATCCTGTTAATTGATGCAAATGTTTCTGTCCGCCGACAGTGACAAGAGTAAACTACATCAAACTAGATTATAGGTGGTGTTCCAAATGAAACTCAGATTTGGTTGGTAGGAAAACTAGCTATGCTACCTCACATTCAAAATTTGAATGTGAGGTAGCGTAGCGCTCAGTAGGTTAGAGTAGTAACAGGTTTTTCAGCAAATGTGTTATGATTAGTTTTTCTTCCATATAATCCAGGTGGTTACTCATTTAACATATCAATGTGATTGTAGAGTGCCTCCCAACATGCATCATGTGTGTGTGCTGACTTGTATTATACCTCAAATTTTGACTTAAACAAATTTGCCATTTTCACTTAGACTCGTGGTATTTTCAGTATTAAATTAAAGCTGTCGACATTAATGAAAATGTAGGGATCTAATTAGGACTCCTGGAGACCCAGATAGCAGCTCTGTGGGGTCTTTTATACTCAGTGAGGTACAAAACTGTCAGACTTCTAATCTTGCCTCCCCGCTGTTCTCCTCTTAGAACATAATATCAAGCGGAGTCTTCTACCGGTGGGGATTTTATGCTCCAGATGGGCCTGCTCTGGACGAGATCAGAAAGCTGGTTGATGCAGGGAAGGTACTGTATATACAGTCCATGCTTATTACTCACATTATACAGACTTATCATTCACAACCACTTGTACTGACAGAACAGGGAGATGGAAATCCTCTCATTTGCACATCAGTCACAGCCTGAGAGTAAAATTGATGCCGGGATGGAAATCATACAGCACACTGAATATGAACATACCATGGATTCCACACATGCCTGTATTCAAGGCTCCCCTGTGGCTTTGTTAAGGAGTGAGCATTCCCACTGTGCTGGTTGGTCGGCTGGTGGTGTGCACAGTTGGCTGCTGGGCGATCAAGGCAGGCGCCAGGAGACGGTGAATGGATTTTTAAACAGTGCTGAGCAGCCATTCGCAAAAGCGTGCGGGACCTCTGTCCTTTTGTCCCGGGGCTTACAACGAGCGGCACACTCAGACCAGTGGCGGGAAGCCGTGGACACACACACAGCAACCCGCACAAAAAACACACACACGCACGCTCTCTCTGCATGTCCTATTCTCAGTCAGAAGTGTGGACGGTTTCCAGTGTGACGCCACTGCACTCCCCATTCATTGTTAACGACAAGAGATGCTGACCAGAATAACAAGCCTGGCTGCTCGTGTTGTGGGACTAGCACAGGATTGTCCAGCCTCATCACATTCTGAACCCCTCCCTCACCTTTTCACATTTGCAGCTATGAAAGCAGAGATGATGTAGCATTAGCAGCTTGTGGGTATTTGTCTAAATTGATTAAATAATGGTTGCCGTGCACTGGTAAACAAAATAGTGTATTTATTCATTTTGTCTGATTAAAAGCACTTAATCCATGGTGTGTACCCCATCAGCACATATTAGAAAGCACGTTATCACTGAAAAATGTGTGTAATTGACTCATTTGTCAATCTGTCAATACTAATTCTGCTAGTTAATGAAGCATTCCACCCATCCATTTTCCCAAACTGCTGCAACAAAGGCCGGAGCCAGATACAATCAATCCCCTCTCTGATATGCTCAAGCTTTACATTTGATCTCTTAATTGATATCTGAGTGCTTTTTTTTAAAGCTGATATTCCTGATATTTTTTCTTGCTGTATCATCACAGATCCTGCCAGTTGTGGAGGCCCAGTTTCCTTTCACCCAGGTGCCCCAGGCTTTTCAGAAGCTGGAGCAGGGCCACGCCAGAGGGAAGACCGTGATCAGGGTGGCCGAAAAGGACGACAGACAGGCTGAAGAGCTGGTGCAGAATATCTGCACAGAGGCTGCAGAGTCAGAGCAGGAAGTGCAAGGAACAGCCAAGCAACACTGAAGAGAGGAAGCGGAGTGTCTAGAGAATAAAGCTTCTGTGATCCCTCTCACCTTTACAAGGCGATTCTTGACAGCAGCAGGCTGTAGTATCTGAACAAATCAGAGGTGCTGCTATAGTGGAGCAGACTACAAGCGTGATCTGAGCTTGCAACGGGAGAGTGCCAAAGACTGTTGTTCTTGTTGAACCTTACAACCTCCTGTGCTGTCTTGAAGTTTTCACAGGGTGCTTGACTTATGCTGTTTTCATGTCATGGTGAAGTTACTGATAATTACCAACTGAGGACTAATAAATACCATTCAGGTCAGTATCCAGCTGGTAATTACAGCCAGGCGTTTGGTAACTTTATGACAGCTGTTACATAATTAAAAAAAATTTGTTGCGCGCATAGTCAGCTTGAAATGTTCAGTCAACACATGTTTATGTGCAGTACCAGGGAAGCAGAACCAACAGGATAAGGCAGGTCACTATTTGCACTGTCCCCATGTTGAGTTGTTTGATTACTACTACAAGTGCATGCAAATCATTTCCTCATCATCACCTTGCATCCCACATCATGTGGCGCCATCATACAGTTAATCTAAGCAGAAAACATTGGTTCAACTTCTGGGGAACAACAAATAATGAAACTTCAGATCTGATATATTTAGTTTCTACACTGTTGTATAGAAGTGCAGCTCATTCTACTGTACAATGTATACAAGAAATGTATTCATAAAAATACTTTTATTTTGAAAACAAGACTTGTGTTTCCTCTTGTTGCATGCAGCTGGAATATATAGTGTATAACATGACATTGCATAAAAATATATGAAAATGTGTTAACACTGTTTAACTTAATTAACATCAGGCAAACAGATTTATTCAATGAAAAGACAAAATACAAACCTTTGGGTATATTACTGGAAGTGTAAAATATGCATTACAAGTTCAGACTCCACTATTTGCATGTTCAGTGGGCAGTCGTACATTCTTATGGATTTATCCATAGCGCTCCATGTTGACCTCCACGTTGGAATTTTGTTTTTCAGAGTTCATCCGCGGCAAAGGTTTAGTATATCCCATGGCGTACCTCGTCCTTGAGCACTTGTCATGCAGCTGTATAACAAAGCCTCTGGCAGAGCTGTGCCTCTGCTAATATCAGCATCCAGCATCAGCAGCTCGGAGGTGGTCAGATAATCTCCACATTCCACCTTTGTTGGGGTTTATTTGGGTCAAGTGAGTTCAGAATCACTTGATTTTTGTCATAGTGATGCCCCCCTGAAAGAGAGAGATGTTTTCTAATTAATATATTGTTTTTAATTATGATTCTGGGTAGTAAAGTATTATTTTTTAAAGTGGGTGCCTTATTTACCGCAGCAAGGATGAGTTCATGTTCACTGTGTATTATTAAAGATAAGCAACATTCATATAGAATCATGAATAATGAAGCATTCAAAAATCTTACCCTGTTCATTGTATATGATCTGATTATACAGTAATGTTACTATTTCATTCGTATAGTTAAAATATCATCTAGAATACTACACACTGAATGATAGCTGGTTCACTAACACTATTTAGTCCACAAGGTGTCACTAATTGACTGATGTTGGCCCCACAAGTGTAGGGACAAGATGACTCTTGTTGGTAACACTGGACTGGTTTAAACAAAAGTGGCATCCTGAGTGGAACACTGTAGTGTTGTGCAGGACTATGAATGCCTCATAATACAATTGATAATAATTTTTACAATTTTCATTGTGCTTAATTCTAACAGTAAAACCTGATCAGGAAGTGTGTGGAAATTACAACCTTGAAATGCTTCGCTGGTATTGTGAAAACTGTCTGACATTTGGATCCCAGCTAGAAGCTACATCTCATGCCAGATATGGATGCTCACCTTTGACTTCCAGGACCAGATCAGGGGTGGGGGTGTAGCGGATAAAGCCCTCAGGGGTGATGCTCCACAGGTGGACTTGGTTTTCTGGCTCTGGGGTGAGACCCACACGGCTTCCTGCCATGGTCACACTGCCGCTGGGACTCAGGCAGCACTCCTCCAGCAGCTGGAAACACAAGTAAAGGAGTTGATTATTTTCTCCAGTGACATTTAGAAGAATATAGAGAGCTGGGCTTGTCTGTTCCACTGAAGTATTTCAGCAGCAGTAGACCTGATAGCCAGGTCTGTTCCACTAAAATTCAGCTCGTGTCTTCAGTGTTTGTCTTGCCCTCTGCTTGACCTGGTCTGGAATCACATTAGATCTTCATTAAGATGGCCTGAACTACAGATACCTCTGTTTTAAACAAGGCTCCATGATTACTTATTCATAGCACCCAGGACAAGCTTTCGCTGAACCCTGACCTACCGATTAGTAGTATGATCATTGGTACTGTACCTTGCAGTGGAGATGTCCATTGTGGTAGAACCAAATCTGCTCGAATCCATCGGTTGCCTCTGTTTCTTGTATCCGCAGCAGTTTGACATCATCTAAATCGCCGGTCACTGACATCATGAGCCCCGTCTGTCTGTTCCTTACACGGAAGTGCATTTGCTTCTACTCGGAAAATACACGTGACAAAAAATAAAATTAAATAATGAAGATATTCAGTGAAGCCATCAGGGTTAGATTTTCAAAGTGGGAATTTTTCTTTATACTTTTCATCAAAGCTTCTCACTATTCTCCACTAGACAATTACATCTTTTATCACGCTTCAATAATTACAATATCAGAAGGTCTTAGCTATAACAATGACAAAATTTGTTTCAATAAGAAAGATGTTATTTCCATTGAAACAAAAACTGCTTTTTGGAATTAATACTGTTTGAAAGTGTAATAAGTGGCAACGTGTGTGTTTTTTAAATTATTTGTCAATTTCCTGCAGTTAACATAATTGACAGATTACGTACATGTACAAAATATTTATATTTAGAAGTATCAAAAACCAGTGGTTTAGGCGTAGCTCCACCTTTGTGGCATACAGATTTTCTAATGCAGAGAACTGATGTACCTGCATAAGAGGGCGGAGGGACCCAATCTTTTGCCAGCCGCTGAACTTGCGCCAGTCGAGAATCTCACCAGGTTTCAGCAAAATCTGAGCACCCCGATAGTTGACTCCCTCATATAACACCCACCTGGTAGTAAGGAAAAGACAAAGACACAGTCAGCTTTTACATATTCAACAGCTACAATCAAACCAATACAAGATAAATACCGTTTACAATAGTGTTTCCTGACTGGTTTGTTGTATTCATGCATTAATTTTTTTAATTTTAACAGTCTTCAAAGGCATACAGTTAAAAGTTAGGAAAGTAGTTTGGTAGAACTTTTATATTTTTCTTTCTTTCTTTTTCTCTTCTTCCATATCTAATGATTGGTGCCTGTTACATTATGTTTTCATTTTGGAAATGACATTACAACCTCTGCAGATCATCCTGGTTAGATAAAGGGTGATGAAAAAATAAAACACAAGTCACAAAAATGATTACTCAATTATAAACAGTTCTTTGATTCAAAACATTTCTGAAACAATCTAAATTTGAATTATTCTGACAATATAAGCCCAGGCTATCTAACTTGGGATGCCACTGGGGGAAAAAAACGTTTCTCTTTTTTTTTTTTACTTGAAGGTGCATTTTTGAGTCCTCTCTTCCATGAAGCACCTCGCCAAAGATAATTTTCTAAAATGTGCTGAGCCTCACAACTGCCCAATTTCAATGTGACACTAAGTGTTCTAACCGAATAGCGCTGCTCTTTGGCTGATTGCCCCGTCTCCCCTGCAGTAGGAATGTGCCACTCCAGAGACAGCTCTGGCTCACTGTGAGCCTTTTATTTCCTCAGCATGGGCTCACACCTACAGTCTGAATCTCACACATCAGCAGCAGGTTTCCATCATCGCTCCATCTGTCAGCTCTGTCATGCTGTAATATGGATAATAATATGTGCCGACCATGCACTTCACATCCAGTGAATCTGAATCTATGAAACATCATGCTCAAACTGCTGCACATAAACAGTCTTTAACAAAAGTAACTGCAGGAAGCCATCTTCACGACAGGGCCACAATAGCAAACCTGGATTAAATACTGTTCTTGCAAATGTAAAAATATCTACAGTCAATTCAAAAGAACAAAAAGATACTTATTTAAACAGACAGCTTTGATTTGGCTTATTTTATTGTCTCTAAATCCTTCATCTTTTAGCTTAAGCACCTTGCTTTGTCTGTTGAGAATTACCTGCTTTAACGTGTAAGTCTGTGAGGTATTGTTACAGCAGTGACAAACAAACATAGGTGAGGTTTGCCCATGAAGAGGACTATGTACTGGATGCCAGAGATCTTAAAAAGGTCGACTTGGCAGTTGCCAACTTTTGAATTTGAAAGAGATTAAAAGCCAACATCGACTTTAAGCTGCTGAGAACCAACAGGGGCCACTGAAGGACGTGTTTGTGAAAAAAAAGAAGACATTATTCTGTTTCATGCGTTCATGGCAGAGAAAAATGGCTATCACATCACTGTGGGGTCGGTCTCCAGTGGAGACACACACAGGGGACTGTTATGCATGAACCTGTCAAACTCGCACTAAGAGGAGAACTCAGTGAAGGCTGCTTTACGTCCCCATAGAGTGAGTCACGCAGCAGTTGTAATGTACTCACATGCCTCCCTCCACTAGCACTGACTGGACTCTACTACAGCCTCCAACCAGCTGAAGGTTGACTGATCCGTCTGTCAGAACCACCCTCTTCCCCCGAAGGCCCCCACGCTCAAACAGAGCGATGGAGGGCAGTGAGAACTCCTGCAAAGCCAGAGAGAGGGAAGAAGAAAATGCATTAACGAAAGATGTTGGTGGAGATATTCAGGGTACGCAGATTGAAATTGAGGTTACCCTGGAAACAGACCACACATACACCTGGCATTTTTCACCCTCTGCTTACTGTAACTCATGGGTTTTCTAAAAGAACACTCAGGTTGTAGGTCAGCAGCAGTGACTCATTTGATACCGGATGGTATTTTTTTTTAGTGTTTATGCAGAGGACAATGAATAAGATGAACTGAACTGTGACAATTTCTGATAGATACTTTCCACATGATGCAGTTTGTGTTGAAGTTGTGTGTCAGCAACCATAATGCTTGGCCTCGATATCTTTTGGAATTAATCCATGAAATTATGCTCATTCACTCTTTAAAGGTTTGCTTTAAATGTACGAAAAGCACTCTCAAACTGCCCTGTCTGTAAATGCTTGACTTGCCTTGTCTAAAATCAATCAGGCTCCCTGAGGCGCTATGTAGAAGTATGAAAAGTTCTACTGGCATGAACTTGCCGTCTATGTATTGATAAATTAGACCTGCTGTTCGTAGCCAAGACTTTTAGGTGTTAAGATAATCACCTTTAAAGCTTCTATGGCAAACCAGCAGCTACCTATTTACTTTTATTAAACAGCAGATGCAGGGCGACATTAGCATTCAATTGGAGTTGTTTCTGGCTGCCTTGAAAATGGAAGTCCAATATTTAGCTGTTTTGTTTAGTCTCCTCAGGGAGATATCTGGCTCTTTAGTTACTAAATGCTCCAGTGTTCGGAGGCTAGACGCTACGTTTGTCTGCTGTTTGATGCCGGGCTGGTAGCATACTGTACAGTGAGGTTATCAGAGCTTTTATTTTTGGATGAAAACAGCTGCCTGCTGAAGCTGAAAACAATGCTAATGAGAGCAGTGAGACTGAACC